GTTTTTAATTATAGAAAACTATTATAAAAGATCATTTCTGTATATATGCCTTCAACAGTGGAGACTTTTAATATCTTAGAGATGAATATCTATGTCTGTAAATGCTAAGCCACTTGAATGAATAATTGAATCAAAAGTACTTATTAACCAGAAGAAATGTTTTTTTGTTAATAATAAAATTTTGAAATCTTAATTTTTTAAAATTTTTGGTTGATTTTCAAATAATAAAATAAGCAATAAAAACAACAGAACCAATTTTAAATTTTTGAAAAAATGATTTTCCCTAAGTCACATCTGGGCTTACCAACACATGTACCAAGACTCAGCTTATAATGATATCTGAGAATTTAAGCCTCCCAAAAAGCAAAACTTGAATTAGAAGATTTGGAAAAAAAAAATTAACTGTCGTGACATTCATATTCATATAGAAGTAACTATAAACCTAAAGACTATTGTTTTAAATAGTTATTTAGTCATTATATTCCTTGGTGTACTCCAAAACAGCAGAAAAAAATCATGTTGGACTTAAACTGTACTTATGTTAAAAAGAGTAAGATAGGCACATTGTCTATTTCCATTCCTGAACTGGGTGATTATATGAATTTGACATCTACATCATGGCTGTGAAAATCAGTATTGTGGTCATTATGTATTTGAAATATAGAAAGGAAACAAGTGATCCAGAGAAATCATCTCAGTTATCCATGGAAAGCACTTCCAGGCCAATCACTGACCTCAAAACTCCTTGCAGTTAACTGTCCCAATCATTGTCCTTCCTTTTTCACTATGGAAATTACCAACTAACAGAACTAGCCTAAATTTTACTGGTCAAAATATTTAAACTTAAAAAAAAAATCATCTCCTTGAAGTGTTGACTCCAGAATTTTTTCTGTAGGAATCGTTAGTTGAGCTTACACCCACAGAGATTTAGGTTTTCAGGTAACCTTCCTTTGCTCTTACTGTCTGTTGAACCCACACAGAAGTAGCAGGTGCACTTGAGAAGTTCAGGCCCAGGGAATGCAACCACTGCCTTTGGCTATAGATGTGTACGTGGGCAGCTCTCCCTCCATCTGAGAGGACAGTGAGATTTGTGCTAAATATGCCATGGTGTTATGTGCTGATGACTTCTTCCTATCATTTCCTCCCCTGGCACTGACCTTAACCCTGTGACTCACTATTCTCCCCTTTCCTGCACAGGGTCATAGAGTGACAAGTGATTATTATCTCTTTAAAACAGATTGTGGGAAAAGGAGAAACTTATTATGAAAGCATACACATACACATATGAAACCATCAGCAATGTGTGACTATAATGATGTAGATGAAGACGAGTAGAGCTTTGTTCCACCTGACCTAGTAACCCCTACACCCAGCAAGTACCTGGCATCAGCTCTTTCTCAAAAGTAAGTGTAGGTTGTAGGATTGGACAATTACTTGTCTTGATTTTGTTTTCTACAGCATCATCTGCTGTCTCTGCCCAAACCCAGAAAATTTCTCATTCTGAATGGAAGACGTTTAAAGTGGAAAAAAAAGAAGAAAAAACACTTTTATCCCAAAAATAGGAGTGAATGCTAATTATAAAAAGAATAGCAGGAAATATTACTTTCAACCTTGTTAATGTTTAGCCTCTCAAGACAGAGCACGGGCCTGGGTGTTTACTACTTAGAATATTCAGTGACTGTTAGGACACATGATTTCTGACCTTAATAAGCATAGAATAAAAGAGAACGACAAGATATTTGAAAATTGTATCATGTAAGATAAATTATGAATGAAATAAGTTCTTTGGTGCTTTTCTTTTTTTTTTTTTTAAGGCTAAGCTTTGTTTAAAAAAAAAATAGGCAGGAGAGAGGTCTATTCTGCGTTCTGTTGGCAACAGATTGCTTCTCTGCCCTTGATGGGGCCAAGGATGTTGATAACTTCAAAGGAAATGCCTTACTGCGTCCTGCCAGGTTGTGTTGTACAGTGTGACCAGGTCAGGACTCTCATATGTGTTGTGATTTAAAAGATGTGATTCTTTGGTCAAACAGCTAGTGACACTATCCACTTCTCTCGCCTTCTCTACTGCTTCCAGAAATTTCAATTGCACCAAAAATAAGTTTCCACAAGGCTTACCAAAGTGCCCAGTTTGTTTAGATGGGAGGTGACTTTACGTGTGAAAAGTTTCTCACCTACCTCCCACTCTCCACCCCCACACAAGCAAGCTCCGATTGAATTCTAGGTGAGAACACCTAGATATTTCACTTTGACTCAACTTTCCATTCCCATATTTGATAAGATTTGTACAAAGAAAATACATTTAATAATATTCAGCCATATGTTTTTAAGCATCTCTCAAATGTTCAGTAGTGAGATGAAGGGGATGAAAACAAAACTGACAAAATTTTTTTTTCATACAAAGGAAATCACAATAGAACCTCCTTGACAAACAGCTGACTTACTGAGCATTTGCTTTAATTGCATCTATTAATCCACATCATAATCACAGTAGTTCATACTATAAAGATGTAGAAAGTTTAAGCATTGAGGGGTTAAGAGACTTGCCCAAATTTGCACCTAACAAATGGCAGAGAGACACGTTTTGAATACGAGTAGCCTGACACCTAAATCTGATTATTAACTGCCTTGCATATTGACTTTGGTAAGTGAATTCAAAGTACTCCTAACACATTTAAAATATGATATGGTTTACCTAAAATAGAGCAAGCTGTACTGGTGTATAAATGCTGCTTAAAACAAGATATGTCTGTGGAAACCAGTGCTGTAATTTCAGGATTTTCCGTCTAGCTAATGGCATTTTCTCTGCAAGAGTATTAAGCACCAAATTGTGCAAGGGTTTGAAACGCTCACTGAGATCAGGATTCCACCCACTTTGGCATGCTGTGTCAAGCACCTAGGGTACAAGTAAAGAAATACAGGCTGGAGTGAATGGTTACACATTCACATCTGAGCCACAGCCATATATGTGGGTAAATTTCCAAATGGACATTTACATTGCCTTTGTGTGAACTGACTTTGTGTTTATTTGCTAAATGTGTTATTTAGGTCTAGGAAAATGACTGGATAGCCCCAGGAAACTTTCACAATTATAACCCAACTAGGCTCCCCAGCCTACTTTGGATAATGGGGGCCCCAGAATGTTTGATAAACACAACCTCTAATAGTTCATTGCTTTGGGGAACACAGCAGTCTACTTTTGCAGGTCTTCTAATTGGGACTTGTAGACTGACACCCAGCATTTGATGTTGCTGTTACTGAGATTTAGAAACTTGTGATGCATTCTTGGTTCTGACTTAGGTGGGGGACTGGGAGGAAGGAAAGGGGAGCCAGAGACTATCTTTGTGAAAATCTAGCTTTTATTACATCACCTAAAGTAGCACAACCTGCTACACTAATGAAATCGTGTTCTTGGTTTAAAAGGGCAATTGTTAGGCTGACTTTGTGCTCACTAAAAACATTCCCCCAATCTTGTTAAGTTATTGCTCTCATTTCAGATTTTTATGGCTGTGCAGCCTACCAGCCCTCATTTCTTTACGTTTCATTCATTTTCCTTGTATTGATGATTAATGGAGGATGTCGAATGTTAGAGTGAGCAGGCATCAGCAATTGCAAGATCATAATTAGTTTAGCTGACGAGGGCCTCTGATAGCACTTGCATCTGGATGGAAAAATTACCCTATAGGGAACTGGCTGCTCACCAGCTCTTTTTAGTGATACATTGTGAAACACCCGATGAATCAAATGCCCTTTCAATGCCAAGAAAGTGTTCCAGTCTTGAAGCCAAAATTATGTCTGCAGAAAGCTTTCCATTTGAAATGTATCAGAGTACAATTATAACCATTGTATTTTCTTGGCAGGGATACCACTCTTCTACAGTATGGACTAGAGTTAAATAAATTGCCTAAATTTTATGAATCCCTGAAATTTTGACTTACAGCATTTGTAATATTTAATTTATAATAAAATTAAGTTTCAACAAGACTTTTTCCACTCCTTATCTCACATGCATATTTTATGCATATTTATCATTAAAGGCTTTGCTTCCTAGAGAAAGGAGAGAGAGCAAAGTCTTTTTTTTTTTTGCACCAAGAGAATTCCATTTCCTGCCTGCTAACATTCGTGCCTTACAAACACAGCCTGACTTTTGTTTAAATGAGAAGTTTAATGGAATCATTACTTGATAGCAAGAATGGAACAAGTAAAACTAATTATCTACTTTTCAATATTCTTAGATTATTTCTGAATCTGTTGGTTACAGAATTCAGGCCACTAAAATCAGTTTGTATTCAGAATCCCTTGTGATTTCCAAGTCTAAGTCAAATAAAATAAATAAATAGCCATTGAGGGGACTGCGTTGTCTGGCTTAGCAGGCACCTCGTAAGGGTGCTCATTAATAATACTGCGCTTCTTGTTGGCTGTTTCTTCTGGTCCTCTCTGCTGTTGGGAATAGAAGGAGTTCTCTTTCAGATTTTACAGTTGTAAACAAAAGACCAGAGTTGAGTGTCTCATCTTTTCTTAATACCGTACATTATACAAATGACATACAAAAGCACACAGTTCAGGTTTGATTTTAAATAGCTTACATTGATTCCAAGCTTGAGTCTATTTTAAAGCTCAGGTAGCATGTGCTCCTCCTTTTCCAGAGTATATTAAACATATTGCCACGTTACGTCTTTTTGACTTTTGTTTTGACACTTTTAAAAGGTACATTTTAGGGTTCAGCGTTTAGGAGCCATCATTAAAGGCACAAAACCCAAAGTTCAAAAAGTTAAAGCTGTTTCTGTGAAAAGCCTTTGGTGTTCCACACACCTCATCCATCACTGTAGGGTTAATTATAATGAAAATCAGTGGTGCCTATTAAACACAATTGAACCTGACCTCATTATGGGCAGTGTGGTTTTATACTGTCATTGTTGCAAGTCTAAAGACAAAACTCCTGGGTTGATTTGGTCTAACTCCACTGATCATGTGACTCACCTCTGACCTTGGTTTTTTTCCCCCTATTTCAGAGGCGTAGAGGCTCCGGTGTTTTTTGTGCCAATTGCCTGACCACAAAGACCTCTCTCTGGCGAAAGAATGCAAATGGTGGATATGTATGCAACGCGTGTGGCCTCTACCAGAAGCTTCACTCGGTAAGAGCTTGTTCCACTGTTTCAGGAAAAGCTTTGTAAAGCAGCGTTGGCCTGGACTGTGGTGTGATGAGTCCCGTTCCCTGGCTTGGAACGCCTGCTCCCGCAGGGTTGTTTAATACAGTCACTCTGAGTGCACATGTGATTTATGGTAGAAGGGGCTTAGATGTTCTGGGGAGACACGTTTGAGGTCATTAGTAATGCATTATGCTTCTTTTGATATAAAAGAGGAAAATGATTGATTTCTGGGAACTTCACATAACAGTTTAACTAATGGTTATCAGAATTCAGTAAAATTAATTTAGGCAAAAAGGAGAAATCTTTTGAAAAGTTTCATAAATATTGAAAGGGATTTTTTCTTTGTTTGTTTGCTTTTTAGAAAAAGAGGGCTCTCCCATATTCAGTGTGAAATATAGGGCAGGGGAAGAGTGAGTATTTTCCAGTTTACCTTTGGAATTTCCGAGTGTCCTTTTAGCTGCTTTGGGGGCTAAAGGGGCACGTTCAGAAGCATAATTCTGAACTAAACTCAGAGCAGAGTATATCCCATGAATCTTTTCAGTGCTTCCCGTGGGTATTTGGAGGAGATAGCGAGTTCCTGAGTAGCACACACATCAGGGTGTGGAGTAAGGTGCAGAGGTGCTTTGTCTTAAGATCTCTGTTGGCATCAGCTCATGGAGGTCCTTTGAATTTTACTTTTTCCCAAATCTTAGTTTGAATGCTGTAATAAAATTAAGACTTACAAATCCCTCATCTGAATATGCATTTTACTTCCTGAAGGAATTTTTTTTTTTAGTTTAGAAAGTTTATCTGCTGACAAGAGCTGACTTTAAAATAGGAATACCCCATTTAGTAAACAGAAATCTATTTCCCTGTGTCTTTTCATTTTGTTTGGCATTTTACCATGGCTCTTAGCACAAGCCAGTGAATACATTACAGCTACAGGGAATACAATTTTAGACAAAACGTTCTCATAAATGGACCCTTGGAAGCACTCTTTTAAAAACTGCTTGCTGCCAACAATACTAATTGGTAGTAAACTGTAAAAACCTTAGTTATTAGCATGTAGCTCGTAGAAAGATTCCAAACCACTACCACATACCACCTTACTTTTTTTAACCATAACTGTTTAAGCACAGTAATAAGCTGCCATTTAATAAGAACTGACATTAAAGATTTTAATTGAACTCTGGTCAATCATAGGCTAAGAATTAATTAAGCTACTACTCTCTTCCAGGTTGTGATAATTTAGCCACTGTGATATAAACTGTTTTCTAAAAATTATTTTATATTAATGTCTCTGAATTACCTCTCTGGAGGTAGATTGTTTTTACTTTTGAGGGTTTTTTTTTTAACCATAAACTGAAATATATAAAGGTTATGCTCATATTTCATGTCAAAACTGCCATAAAATTCATAAAAGTTTAAAAAAGGAATTAATGCAAAATTCAGGGTTTTTATAGTGTAAAGATTAAATACTGCATATTTTTATAATACTCATATGAACTGATTGTAAACCTAAACATTCTGAACGAAATAAATGCCCATGTCATAACCAAGATATGTGGTGTTTTCTTTCTGTAAATGATAATGAATTGTCGCTAAGAAGTGCATTATCTTTCTTTCTCTCAAAGTACCTTTGTGACAACATAAATATTTCAAGAAGGATTGATATTTATTCTTATTTAGTATATAAAATGTACTTTCTTACATTAAGGAGTATGCATTCTAGCAATAATTCACAAAATGCATATTTTGTTCATATTTTACATAGATATAATTTCCTGATTTTATTAATCTTTTAGAAAAAATATACTTTAGCCTATTTAAAGATTCTACTAAATTCTTAATCTGTATATATTAATTTATTAAACTTATTCCTTTGACTTTATAAATTGAAGTGAGAGCTTTTACTGCAAGTAAGTTTTTAATTGTAGTCTTATCCATGGATTTTAGTCATATACTATAAACACCTGTTGAACATGTACTTAAATATCAATCATGCAATGGTTAAGTGAAATAAAATACTTAAACTGAATGACCAAAAGTCTGCATTACTTTAGGTAAAGAATAGAGTGACAGATTGGATATTTGAACCAAGTCTACTATTGAATTTAGATTTTCAACACAAAACTGACACTTCACTTACTAACGAGTAAAATCTTCCATTGTGAGTATAGAATTTTATTAAGGAAAGTCAAAGTGAGAGAAAGATAAAAATGCCCCTGATATGGCTTTGATGACCTGGTATCTTTCCTGAAAATTCTGTCAGTTTGTCTTTGACTCTTTATGCTCTATTATTAAGATGTGATATTCACATTTACAGTTATTTAGAAGCATGCACATTTTGCATCTTCTTGCTTTGTCCTTACCTGGTGGAGACAGATCTCCTTCCTTTCCTCTTCTTATAACATCACCATCCTATGGAATAGGGCCCCACCCTTATGTCCTCATTTAACCTTAATTTTCTCCTAAAGATCTGATTTCCAGAGATGATCACATCTAGAGGCTAGGACTTCAACATATAAAAGTGTTCGGTCCATAACAATGCATAATTTCCCACTATTTTCATTAATATTTCTCTCCCATGTAACTATGTTAACATTTTCAAAATTGAAAACTATTTCAGAAAAAAATTGTACAACTTCAAGTAACTTTATGCAATTCAATATCTGTTGAGTTTGGAAAGGCTGTTTTCAAGTAGATTAAAGTTTTAGACCCCCTGCAGAGCTAGACATGATTTAATTAGGCTAAAATAGTGCGCTTTGGTTACTTCCTCTGATCATGCTTAGGGCAAAAGGAAGAGATTTAGTAAATCTACAATGTAAAGCCTATCCTTGCTTTGAACTTGAGCATGGTTTATATTTGTGAGGAATTTTTAATGCATTTTAATGTATTTTTTAATGTTTCCCTTTTATGTATTGTGTGTGTTCTCTGCAGACTCCCAGGCCTTTAAACATCATTAAACAAAACAATGGTGAGCAGATTATTAGGAGAAGAACAAGAAAGCGCCTTAACCCAGAGGCCCTTCAGGCTGAGCAGCTCAGCAAACAGCAGAGGGGCAGCAGTGAGGAGCAAGTCAACGGAAGCCCCTTAGAGAGGAGGTCAGAGGATCACTTGACCGAAAGTCACCAGAGAGAAATGCCACTCCCGAGCCTAAGTAAATATGAAGCCCAGGGTTCATTGACTAAAAGCCATTCTGCTCAGCAGCCCGTCCTGATCAGCCAAACTCTGGATATTCACAAAAGGATGCAACCTTTGCACATTCAGATAAAAAGTCCTCAGGAAAGTACTGGAGATCCAGGAAACAGTTCATCTGTGTCTGAAGGGAAAGGAAGTTCTGAGAGAGGCAGTCCCATAGAAAAGTACATGAGACCCACGAAGCACCCAAATTACTCACCACCAGGCAGCCCTATTGAAAAGTATCAGTACCCACTTTTCGGACTTCCCTTTGTACATAATGACTTCCAGAGTGAAGCTGATTGGCTGCGGTTCTGGAGTAAATATAAGCTCTCCGTTCCTGGGAATCCGCACTACTTGAGTCACGTGCCTGGCCTACCAAATCCTTGCCAAAACTATGTGCCTTATCCCACCTTCAATCTGCCTCCTCATTTTTCAGCTGTCGGATCAGACAATGACATTCCTCTAGATTTGGCGATTAAGCATTCCAGACCTGGGCCAACTGCAAATGGTGCCTCCAAGGAGAAAACGAAGGCACCACCAAATGTAAAAAATGAAGGTCCCTTGAATGTAGTAAAAACAGAGAAAGTTGATAGAAGTACTCAAGACGAACTTTCCACGAAATGTGTGCACTGTGGCATTGTCTTTCTGGATGAAGTGATGTATGCTTTGCATATGAGTTGCCATGGTGACAGTGGACCTTTCCAGTGCAACATATGTCAGCATCTTTGCACGGACAAATATGACTTCACAACACACATCCAGCGGGGCCTGCACAGGAACAATGCACAAGCAGAAAAAAATGGAAAACCTAAAGAGTAAAACCTTAGCACTTAGCACAATTAAATAGAAATAGGTTTTCTTGATGGGAATTCAATAGCTTGTAATGTCTTATGAAGACCTATTAAAAAAAATACTTCATAGAGCCTGCCTTATCCAACATGAAATTCCCTTCTTTTAGGATTCTTTCTTTTGATGAGTAGGTGACTGAGATTAAAAAGTGAGACAAGTGGTCAGTGAGAAAGAATGGAAGATGGCAAACAATCCTTTTTTAAAGCCTAGTAAATCACAACCATCTTGGCCTATATATTCTGGGGAATCAATCCTGAAGAGATATCACCAGACTATAATTAGTAGGTTTGTAAAGAACGAGTTAAAAACTATCTGGAATTTGGAAGAGATTACGTATTATGATTGGGTTGGCCATTGTCCTGTGTATTCAAAAACCCATAAATTGTTGCCTAAATTTTTAAGTCTCATGAGATCCTAGGCAGAGGAGGAGAAATGAAAGTTCAAGGGCCGTGAAAGGAAAATGGCGCCCTCTCCTCAGTCTCCTCTCATTGACCATGTTTCAGATTTTGACCTAGAAATGCGAGCTGTGGTTAGACTTGGTTAGAGAGCAGCAAGAAAGGTGATAGATGGTGGCACACTGTTGGGCCTGCCCTGCCTGTACATACACATACACACCCTCTCTAGTATTTTTGTCCTTTAGATGTTCAAATACTCAGTAAACCTTTTGTTTGCAAGTTTAGTTTCATTCTGTCCAAATATATATTCGTTTTAAAAAACAATGTCCTCGATGCTTACATAGTAATTTTATTTTAGCCAGGTATCTCTTTCTTGTACATGATGAACCCATTTGGATTTGTTTTTGTTTTTTGGGTTTTTGGGGTTTTTTTTAAGCCTCCTGTTGGTCACTAATCTCACTTGGTACCTTATAACTAAAGGAATCCCCTCAGTTCAAAAGTATAGATGGATACAAGTTCAGACCATGGGTGTAATTTGTTTAGAACACATGGTATTTCTTCACAAGGTAACCTGCTGTATTTATTTATTTCTTTTTGGTTAAATATAATTTCCAAACTTTGTGGTCAGGCAATGTCTACAGTTATGTTACCACAGACTGACAGTTGGTATATATACCAGTCAATCCCTTCATTAGATGTACACAGGTTTAGTTAAGTAGCATTAAATAGGAATCTTAGAAGTATGTCTTCATAGTACTTTTAATACTTAAGGCTTTGTAAAAATAAAAATAAAATTAAAAAAACTGTCCATGAAGGGAAGCTCCTCAGCATAACTGCTCAGGGAAATAGGGCTAAATAACTGAACATTAAATAATTGGTTAAAGGTGCTGTTAGTCGAGCCTCAATGCTTGCTATAAGGATGTATGTACAAGGACTGACTTTAATAATTTGCATTATATTGTCCCAACCAGTAGTTTATTTTTTGCCACGGAGATGTAGAAGATATTACAAGCTACTGGATGCACTGTCAGATTAACTTATTTCATTAAAGAAGTTGGGAGAACAAATAGGAAAAAAAACTTATTTTTCTAGTAAATATTAATGTATTACATTTCAAATAATGGTGCCTGACATATTGAATAATTATTTTCTACAGTGTACGTATGCAACAAAGATATTCCATCATGCATTAGAGTCAGTTCTGGCTCTGCCTAGCTGTTTACATTTGCAAATGTAGCAAACAAGGTAATGAAGCAACTATTTCTATTGCAGTAGATATCTTTTTGTGTGTGTGTGTGTGTGTGTGTGTGTGTGTGTGTGTGTGTGTGTGTGTATTAAAGATGTAAACGGTAACATGAAACAAATGAAAGTTCTTGATATAATGGTATGGAAAACAAGAAGGAAATGAAAATATTTTTATGCCTACTTAGGAAAAAAAGGGTAGCACTATTCATTCCAAGTACTTTTTAAAAAATTTTTAAGCTCTTAACTCACATTGTTATGCTTAAGATGATAAACATATATCCTCTTTTTATTGCTTTGTCTATGTTTCAGATGAAACATTTCAGAAATTATTTTGATAAGTGTTGCTGGAATCTGCAGCACTGATTTTTTATTGCAGTCTGTAGTCGCATTTGCACTCCATTTTTACATTAATTTGCAGTTGCTTTGTATTGTTTTGTTTTGTTTGGGGTTTTTGTCGTTGTTGTTGTTTTTTCACAGTGCCGGGTCTTCCTTTCTTAAAGTTGGATGCAGGTAGAGTTCAACCAGTTCGTGACTGTTGTAGCAAATGAAGTGAACAGTGTCTTTCTGATGTGTTGTCATTTTCATTCTTGCATTTTTGTTTGCATATATTTAAAAGAGAGAGAGAGAGAAGAGAAAGCAAGAGACAGAAATCAGGACTCAGTCCTCGGCTTCATTTTCATTGTTTAAGGGCCCTATTCTGATCTCACCTGTTGCGTAGCTCTAATCTTCACATTGAAATAAAGAGGTGGAATGAGGAGCTTTGACATTCAAATTATGTGATGTAATTTATCTTTCTTAGGAATTTTGATGGATGCATCTCATACTATATAGCCAGACATGAGAGGTGACAATTTAATATCTAAAAAAACGGAGGAAAGTTCCTAAACAACAATATTTAATTTTATTCATAAAAAGAATAATAAAATGCACTGTGGCAATCCTCAAGCGACATTATCTGTGTGGACTGCTTAAATCAGCAAAACACAAGAAGTTTGGTTAACCTGGGCAGTGTTACAACTATTACTTTTTGGGCAAAACTACTCATTAAACAGTTTCTCCAGTGTGTCGGACAAATAGGTTATTTCACTTTTGGCATGTATGTCTTTTTATTTTCATTCAATTTTGTTTTTCCTCAGACAGACATAGTAGTAATGACTAGCATTGAACAATACATATCGCAATTCTTGGAATATTTATGGTCAGTCTACTTTTCGATAGAGTATTTTTGGATAGCATTGACACGATAGATCTTATTCCATACTCTTTTATTATTGATTATTTTATTTTCATTTTTGCTTTCATTATTATACATATTTTGGTGGAGAAGATGTTGGGCTTTTTAAAAAAGACAAAAATTGACATAACACTAAATAAATACTCCTTATTTTTTTACTTATTAAAGCCTTTGTTCCATCTCTCAAGCTATATAATAATGTTTTTTTGGTTTGTTTTTTGCTTTTAGGATCTCTGAATCATTTTGTCTTAAATTGTGATTTTTAAATGAGCTATTTAAGTACTTAACCCTTACTTTGGAGGACTTTCATGAGGATTTAGGAATTTTCTGTCTTGGAAAAGCCTTCCCCTATGATGAAAACTACATGCCAGCTAAAATCCTATGCTATTTACACATGGAAAGACTTTCACAATTATTGGTCTATGTTCCAAATTGAGCTTTGGATCAAACTTTAGATCAAGAGCAGCTCATGTGTTCTCGCTCTTCCTTTACTCACTCCTCTCATCATCACTCAGCCCTATATTCCTTCTGTTGTTTGGGATAGAAAAATTATAAAGAGCCTGCCCACCTCAGAAGATTGTGGATTGAGAGACACTACACTACTCTAAGTACATGGAAAAAGGATGGAGCTCCAAACATTAACTCCACAGTTCAAAAGAAAAAGAGTGTGCCCAATTATCTCTACATGACATATTGAGATGTTTTGTTGTTTTTTTTTTTTAATCAACTTTTAAGATAGTGGTGTTCTGTTCTAAACTGTTCTCTTTTAGCAAAGGTAGATTTTAGAAAACAAGCATGGGGATTCTTTTCTAAGGTAATATTAATGAGAAGGCGAAAAGTGATTATCTTGATCAGCTCTTTGTTGAAGCCTGTGGTAGCACATTATGTTTATGATTGCACATGTGCACATAATCTATGATGATCCAATGCAAATACAGCTCCAAAAATATTAAATGTATATATATATTTTTAAATGCCTGAGGAAATGTCTTTCTTAATAAATTGAAGTCTCAGTACTGCTATTAAAATAATTATTAGCCTCCTGCTGTGTGGCTGCAAAACATCACATAGTGACCTGTCTTGAGACCTGTGAACTGCTTGCCTGTTTAGTTAATGAAATTAACGCATTTCTAAAGGGGGATTATCTCCCATCCAGCAGTGGAAACATGGAGTAAAGAAGCTGGTGGTCTGCTTCTGTGCTGTATGCCTTTTGCCTAAAGTTGAGAGGATCTCACAGCTACTATCTTTGGGTTGAGGGCCATGGCAAAACAAAAACAAACAAACAAAAAAGCTCAAGCCATCTTTGGTAAGCAAGTAGGTGAAAGCTTGCTGCCTGTCCTAGACACAGGAGAAAACTGAGGAACTGAAATACAACCTGAGTATGAAACTAAATGTGCTAACCAAAGGTAGGTACTGTAAGATGGAATTCTATCAACAGGCAACTGCAGATGAGAAGAGGATAGAAAGACACGCATCAGGACTTTGGAGGGCAGTGTTATTTACCCAAAGAAAGACTTGGCCAAGGGCAGAGGCATGGCTTCTTTGTAGAGCACTTCTTTTTGGTTTTCTACGGCTTCTTTATAGACAACGAACTCGCATGTTCCTGATAGCAGTGCATTTGTTTAGAAAGCATCCTGTTTCGTTGCAGTAAATAGAACCTCTGGAAGATGCTAGGGCAGAAGTGTGCCAAGTCAGGGGTGAAGAAAATGTGAAATTCAACAGTAATCCAAACATGGAAAGTGGATAATATATGCCCATGTATGATTCCCTCGAGAGAAAAGGTAGAGCTGTAAGCTTCACTCTGTCCTACACCAGAGAAAAGTAAGAGTAACTGCACCATGGAAATAACTCTTAGCCTTTATCAGAGAAAATTGTCTTCAAGACCTGTAAGTCCCAAAACTCAACCCTTGTTTTACCCCTGATTGTTTTTCAACATATGAACTGCAGCAAATCACTTTTTTCTTTTTGTGCCTCAGGTTCCTCAGCTGTAAAATGGAAAAAATATATATATTAATAATAATAATATTATTAATAATAATAATGGTAATGTAGTACTTGTTTGTAAAGCACTTTGAGATTCTTGGTTGAAAGGCACCGTGGGAGTGCCAAGTGTTATTATGTGGCCAAGGGAGTTATTTAAACTCTCGGTTCCCAAGGGTCAGGAAAGGTTGGGGTCATTTTCTTTAAAGATGAGCTGTAAATATAACTAGGCAGCCTATAGTGTTGACTATGAAGAGGCAAAACTGTTACAAGGCTGATAAAACCATAGTTTCTTAATGGCTACCAACAAGGCAAATATCACAGTAACAAATGCCAAATTCCTTAGGGTGGACTATTTGACAACAACATGGATAATTTGGGGGGGGCAGGGTGGGGGTGGGGAACATCTCAAAATGCCAATGTAAAATTAAATTACAGCAATATTCACCAGCAGAAAATGTCTTTCATATGGAATGATTTCATGTTGCTAAGAAAAACAATTCAATTTGTAGTCCTGATTTGAATATTAGAATGTTGGCTATAATGGTTCTGTTCTTACAACACATGAAATTTTTTCGTTTTATTTTATTTTGTTTTCATAGTGCATGTTCATTTCTACTCACAAACATGTTCTTGGTGTATTTCTTATGCAAACAATCTTCAGGCAGCAAAGATGTCTGTTACATCTAAACTTGAATAATAAAGTTTTACCACCAGTTATACATAATGGCGTTGGTATGGTTTATATGAATCTACTCCCATCCATCCAGCATCAGAAAATACAGACCATTGCAGCATACAAACAGGCTCTGAGGAATTGAGATGGTGAAATCAAATCACCATTTTTTTAAAAAATGACTTTGATTGATAAAGCCTGTATTTTCTCAACTTGTCTTGCTTTGCTTTTTTGTCTTTAACCAATCAATCTCTTATTGGTAGAATTTTGTAAAAAAAAAAAAAAAAATGCTAGTTTTTTTTAGAGAGATTAACAATACAAATTGTTTTATTTCAAGAACACTTATTAAGTATCAAATATCAAGTGTTGAGTATTGGGTAATTATAATGTTACTACGTGTAAAAACTCCTGCTTATAAATTTTAGTTGTGATTGAATTCAATATACTTGCATCAATATGATGCAAAGATCCTGATAAATCATCTCAAAGAGTTTAAATTACATCAAATAAATTGTTTGCTTGCTTAAAGTAGAAATAATTGGAGCAAGTCTCCTAAGTATGACTTTAAAAGAGAAAAGAGCCAGAAGAGATCCAGACAGAAAAGAACATGGGAAAACCCACCCAAGTGTTTTTAACCAGAAGGAAAAACACAAAAGGACAGGACATGCAATCTATAAATAATTGCTTCCAAAGATTTGTTTTGGAAGTTTCAAAATAATTAATATCTCCCCACCGTGTACAATCTTCATTTCTCATTTTTGGAAGCCCAAATTAAACAAATCCTTTTTATTTTTCCCCCTTTTTCTTTCCCCTTTCCGTGTTTTGAAAACAGAGCAGAGTCTTTGAGGGGCTCTCATTATGGAAATAAGCTTGTTTAGCAGCTGGAAGCAATGTTCTCTAGATAAGAGTGTAGTAATAACACGTAATATGATTCCTTCTCCCTATAAGGAATTTGATTCTTCCATCAGGGACCATCCTTCAGAGAAAGTGGAATATGCTTTGCTCTCGCCCAAAACTGTCAGATTCTTGTTGAAGGAGAAATATGTAGACATCAGCCATTCACCCGTATTGGAGATGAGAGAAGTGAGTGAGTCGGTCCCTCACTGCACTCTCACCTCTGAGTCTCCCATCTCTGAGGGCAGA